ATAGAAGATGGTTTGTGCACCTCCAAATTTCCCACGGGAGCTGTGCACCAAATTCACCACTGCACTGAAATACATCATTACCATGCCCGCTACTTTACCGCGGTGGCATAGAACAGCAAGGTAATGTTTCAATACTGCAGCTTGCCATTTGCTGATAAGGTTAGACACCGAAGTGTTGTGTTTCTGTCTTTTTTAGTTTCGCATATGGGAAATGTTTTTCGAGTTCACCGAGGTGTGAGATGTGGTTTCTCGTTAGGCTTTGGCACCACTGATTTGTTTTCTCTACCTCCCTTGTTATCTTTCTGTACTCTGTGGTTGACTAGTTGATGGGAACCAACGAACGACCTTCATTTGGTCTACAAGCTGTTTTGAAGCCAATCTTACCTCTATGTATTGTTTACTCCAAATGTCAATGTCTCTGAATGACTAAAGGGATATTTTACTCAAAGATCCTTGTTTAGTATTTTGTTAATCAGTGCAATGTTGATATGGGCCCCAAACATTGTGCATGTCAGCAGTAAGGTTTCAAGATAGAGCACTTTCAGTAGAAATCTAAAGGTGTGATGCGTTTTGCATCATATCATGGATTTTGAATCATCATCACACCTTTTGGTTTGTACTGAAAGTGCTCTATTTTGGAAACTTTACTGCTATTAATTTGCTATAAATGTACTATTTATTTAGGGTCTCAGGAGTATTACACCTGCATTCTTAAACTCTTGATGGGGAGATGGTCAAACTTACCCATTGGTCGCACTCAAACCTATAATTTATCCCACCCCAATACACTATGTTCGGTGTTAACGACCCTACTGTAGAGCAACATACCAGATCAGTCATCACACCCTAATGAGTTCTCCTATGCAGGAAGTAGATACAATGACTCCACTTGCTATGCATCCTTAACTGTCTTTCCAGGTCCTCCTTTTTGAGAGGGGTTTCTAAACAATTTCTTTCAACGTTGACCGACTCGACCTGCTCCTGAGTGCCAGAGTGCTGTGGTGTTTCCTGCGAATGCAGACAAAGGTGTAGACAGTGCCCACATTGAACTCTCCTGACATCCTGCAGGTTATTAAGGGCCCTTTGCCTACAATTTCTGCGCCCCCGCGGATATCTAGTTAACATAATAATCCCCATCAAAATGTGTCTGTTTAAGCTAGAGATATCTGTTTTTTTGCATGGCCCGCGTCTCAATCCACCTCATGCGCCGATATCGCCCTTCCTCATCTGCAGTGAAAGGTGGCAGAGATAGAGAAGTGTTTGTCAGACCATGAGACATCCTAAAAATCGGTCTTCTCACAAAAACGTATGTAGCGTCCGAGCGGTTTGGCCTACGAACTATCATGACCACCCTACTGAAAGATGAGACTCTTACAAACACAATGTTCTCCGTTTTGCTCTAGGACGCCCACAAGACTCGTCTTAGGTCCCATGTACCAGTTTAAAAAATGAATGAAAGTATGTATGGAGATAATTTAGTGCCTAAAATAAGGGAATAAATACATGTCGGAAAAAATAAAAAATGTTTCCTTTCTTATATCTTTCAGAAATAGGACAGACACTTCAGAACAAAGTTCCTTTAGATTTTTTTTGTGACTATCTGTTGTCCCATGTAGTGAATCTGTTATTCAATGCGTTTCTATTGGCTAATAGCAGTAATGCCAAATTCCATGTTTCATCCAATAAATACAAAATATTACACCTTAAGGGGCCTTAAAATTCAGAATCAAATAGCTAAATAATCCTTGGTATGACCATCTTAAAACATTTCCATATGTTAGCTTAGAACAAAAAATGTAGGGTCCCTTCTGCTTAAATTGTTAACCTTCATTACACATTTTTTTCAAGTGTAACTACTAAGTAGTTCTGCTTATTAATTTTCAGTGGTTGTGTATTAATGTTTAACATTGTTTTATGTATTCAACGATTTGTCATTTTAGCCCACCTTAGCAGGCATTTTGCTCATTCTTCTTGCAGTAACTGGAGGTAGAGCTGTAAGTCTTACGGGACGTTGTATTAGCCTGCATTAAGAGTGGTGCACATGACCTTGTTGATGGTGGGAATGGCTTGTCTCATTATTTTGATATCCGTACATCATGATCAATTGCACCTCATAGCACATTAAACTGCTTAGTACTATTTTAGAAACATACTTGTATTTCTTCAAACTAGCATATAACATTGTTTAAAAGTATAATCAAATATTTTTGGGGGGAATTACCCACAATCCTCTAAAAACAGAGCCAGGTGGCACTATTAAACATTCATAACTTGCACACATTTTATAATTATCAGCACAATACAGATAAATCAAGTGTTTTTTACTCAAATATCAATGTGTCTGACTACTACTTTAATATTTTAAGTAAAGACTTAAAAAATAATAGAATCAAGTAAGAACAACTTATTTAATAATCGTTAGATTGACTTTAAAATATTCAATTATCATAAACTGTAAAAACTCAATAACTTTAGATTAGCAGAACACAAAGTTATATTTACTCAATAACTTATTTTTTATTAACAGTACTCAAAAACATTAAATGATGAGAAATCTTATTGACATGAGTTAGCACACCTTTTATGATTTGAGTTCATCTGCCCATTGGAGATGTTTGAGTAGCCACTACTCAATTTCTTTATTGACTTAGGCAGTTACTTTTACAGTGTGGCGGGTAAGTTACTGTGAATATTCACAGTAACTTACAGAGCCTTCAGAAAGTATTCAAACCCCTTGACTTATTCTACACACTGTACCCCATAATGTCAAAGTGAAAACATGTTTTTTGAGATGTTTGCTAATTTATTGAAAATGAAATACAGAAATATCTAATTTACATAAGTATTCACACCACTGAGTCAATACATGTTAGAATCACCTTTGGTAGTGATTACAGCTGTGAGTCTTTCTGGGTAAGTCTCTAAGAGCTTTGCACACCTGGATTGTACAATATTTGTTCATTATTCTTTTCAAAATTCTTCAAGTTCTATCAAATTGGTTGTTGATTATTGCTAGACAACCATTTTCAAGGCTTGCCTTAAATTTAAGTCAAAACTGTAACTCGGCCACTCAGGAACATTCACTGTCTTCTTGGTAAGCAACTCCAGTGTAGATTTGGCCTTGTGTTTTAGGTTATTGTCCTGCTGAAAGGTGAATTAATCTCCCAGTGTCTGGTGGAAAGCACACTGACCAGGTTTTCTTCTTGGATTTTGCCATTCTGTTAATTTCTTGTCCTGAAAAGCTGCCCAGTCTTTAACGATTACAAGCAGGGGTGCAACTTTTACAAATTCTCCAGTTTTATCATTGGAATGTGATACAAAATGAGGCAACGGTGTGCTTTATGACCATGCGGACACCTCCGAGTGGTCGTGTAGGCTGTTTGGAGTGTTTATCCGACTGGATAATATATATATATATATATATATATATATATATATATATATATATATATATATATATATATATATATATACTGTATATACATATATATATATATATATATATATATATATATATATATATATATATATATATATATATATATATATATATTGTATATACATATGTCCCCCCACTTCTAAAACCAAAGGTGCGCCCCTGATTACCAGTATACCCATAACATGATGCAGCCACCCATATGGTTGAAAATATGGAGAGTGGTAGTCAGTAATGTGTTGTATTGGTTTTGCCCCAAACATAACACTTTGTATTGAGGACAGTATTATTTTAGTGACTTGTTGCAAACAGGACAAATGTTTTGGAATATTTATATTCTGTACAGGCTTCCTTCTTTTCACTCTGTAAATTAGGTTAGTATTGTGGAGTAACTACAATGTTGTTGATCCATCCTCAGTTTTCTTCTATCACAGCCATTAAACTCTGTAACTGTTTTAAAGTCACCATTGGCCTCATTGTGAAATCCCTGAGCGGTGTCCTTCTTCTCCGGCAACTGAGTTAGGAAGGACGCCTGTATCTTTGTAATGGCTGGGTGTATTGATACACCATCTAAAGTGTAATTAATAACTTCACCATGCTCAAAGGGATATTAATTGTCTGCTTTTTTATTTATTTTTGACCATCTACCAAAAGGTGCCCCACTTTGCGAGGCATTGGAAAACCTCCCTGGTCTTTGTGGTTGAATCTGTGCTTGAAATTCACAGCTCGACTGAGGGATCTTACAGATAATTGTACCGTATGTGTGGGGGTACAAAGTCATAAAAAAATAATGTTAAACACTATTATTGCACACAGAGTGAGTCAATGCAATTTATTATGTGACTAGTTAAGCACATTTTTACTCCTGAAATTGTGTGCGTGCGTGTATGAATTTGTGTGTGTGTGTGTGTGTGTGTGTGTGTGTGTGTGTGTGCAAGCATACTATACGTGCATGCATTTGTATGTGAGTCAGTGTGCGCCCAAGCAGTGCATGCAGTGTGCCTTGTTGTGTGCTTCTTGTATGTGTTTTATTTGTGTTTGTTTTAACACGGCTATCTTTCATGTCCATCCAGCTTCCTGTTTCCATTGCGAGTTGTCTTCTGAGCCACTTAGTGGAGGGAAATCGCTCAAGAGCCAATAAGACGGCAGGAAACTAGCCCAAGTGGCCCCTACGCCCAAATGGACCCCGTAGCAACTGGCATAGCAACACTCCCACAAGTGTATACAAAACGTTAATTCCTTGTAGATTATCTGAATCAAGATAGGCCGGTCTCTCCAAAGTCACATAGCAATCTCTGTCTTTAACCCTTCCCACATCCACTCTCCTCTGACTCCATCTTGGTGTAGGTTGAAGTTACCCCTAGACGCTGATCTTGGGTCAGCTTTGCATTTCCCCTACTAATGGTTAAGGTTATGATTGGGGAAGGGGAAGCTTATCATAGATCTGTACCTTGGGGAAATGTCTCCCCGAAGTCGGTGTCCATCAGGCCATTAAATCAACATCAACAGAACAGTAGGATGTTACGTCAGCACTTTTCTGTGAACAATAGTAGGAAAATCAGGGGTGGGCTTAGGGCTCGCTCCTTAACCCACTCGTGTACATTTCGGAAGAGAACAGCGTATTGACGCTATTGGCTGCTACTCACTGGTCCTTGAGTTTAATTTGGCCATGAGGCTCTCCAGTGTCCTCTCTCCTCCACCATGATCTTCCTACTGCTCTTCCCTGTCCTGGTCTTAGGTATGTTTCCTATGGTAACACTTTACTGAAAGTTAACAGGCATGTACAAGCCCTTATAATGTCTTATTATAAGGATTGTAATATGTTATGTATTTTTATGTGGCTAATATACTGTATGGGGAGCTGTTATTTAGTCAAAATCATTATAAGAAGATCATAAGACATTATAAAGGGGTCAAGCATGCTTATGACAAGTCTTACGATACATTATTGATGTATTATAATGCTTTAAACCTGTTGCTATTAAGTGTTACCCTGACTCTGTTGTCTGGGCGGTGTGTGAGCGATAAGACAAGACTTCTGATCTAATCATATTGGTGGTTTCTTGTTGCTTCTTCTTCTTGTTGAGTAGCTGCCTTGTCACGGTGGAATGTTTTCCCATTGTGTTTAACTGACTATACAAAGGTGAAATTAAGCCAAACTCTCTTGTATATTAGTGGGAGTAAGAAGACATATTTGAAGGCATATTTGACCACACATGACAATGCATTACCACGTTCTTTTAACACTTTAACGTTAAACACCTCTTAATATCCAGGTGAAATTCAATTACAAAGCAATGTATCATCCAACGTAACATTTGAAGATGATGGTAAGTGCTCAAATGATCTAGAACTTTAAAGCACTTTTGGCAAAATAATAGTACCTACTTCAAAATGCATGATGTATCTTCCTAATCAATTTGTATTGTATTGTACCTTGCTGTTGGATTTTTTCCCAAATCAACAGTTAAAATGCTCAAATATGTAAAAGAAATAAAAATAATTAATAAGGTACTATGTGTTAGAATGTGACACACTTCTATTCGTCTACCCTGGCCAGATAGTGTCAGCCCAACATTGCAACAATACTGTATACCTACCTGATTTCATCTATGCATAGGCAATAAAATGGATGGGTGGATTATAAATGGGGTAAAATGTGTGTTCTCTCTGGTTGTACCCCTAGAAAGTTTCGATGTCATTCCCCAGTGCAATGAGCTAGGGCAAGGCAGCTACAGCATGTGCTGGGAAATGTTTCACACTGAAATGAAAGACATCAACAAGGAACTCTGGTGTGAATGGGACCAAGTCATCAGGTATATCTAAATGTTGCTTTCTGATTAAATGTTGCTTTCAAACATTATGTGCTTACTACTCTTTGACCCTATTTACACTTAGTATCAAAATGCGATCTACATCCAGAATACAGAACCAAATAACTAAAATGCATCTTAATACCAAATGTGATCAGATCTGGTAAATTTTTACATTACATATATAGTTCCATCGCAAGTTCATTGTTTGACATCCTGTTTTAGATGTAATCTACATCGCTCCTTCATTATTGGTTGAATCCCATCAAACTGTTAGATTATTGGTTCAATCTCCATACATTAGTTTTAACTGGTTAAAACAACCTGCACACACTTTACTACTTACATTGCTCTCTTCGGTTCCACTGGTGCTGAAGTAGTTTCATACTTGGACCCATTGAACAAATCATTTTATCTCTATACTTGTACCTCTCTCATTAGACCACTTCCTCTTTCAATGTAAACAGTAACAGCACATGGAGTTATATGAAATAGAATAGTTGAAGTAGGTGCCTCTAATGCAGGGGCAGAGGAAAAGCATTCAGTCACTTTGTCGGCAAAGAGTCATTAGTTGACAGTGGGCGGGAGGGACACACTTGGCACGGTGATTCACTTGGCAGGCTCCATGATGATCGATACTTCCCAGCTCCACTTTGAGAGAGATGGAGCATGTGATAGAGAGTGTGTAGAGGCTATTCACACTGCAGCGCACACGGGCTCACACACAGCCAGGCACACTCTCTTTACCATTCTTCAACTCTCAAATATTATGACAATTACCATGATAGTAGAAATATCTGATCATACGTAACCAATTTAATCTTGCTCTAAAAAATAAGGAATAACTCGATAGTCTCCAATAGTCTTCATTGAGCAAAAACCTATAATTACTGTAAAATGTATTAGCTAACAGAGTTACTCTGCATTTACTGTAAAACTTGATTTGATCTCTCCACGGCAGACCATACAATCAGCTGACCAAATGTATCGAGAGCTGGACCACCTACTTAGGATGTTATTTCCCGAACCAAGTGGTGCAAGACTTCTTCATCCAGATCCATTCCCACTTCTTCCAGGCATGTCCAGAGGAGGAGCAGTTATTTCCTGATGCCCCCTCGGGCGTTGTGCTTACCCTTACCCTCATTCCAGTCAGTCTCATCCCCATTCTGGTTTTCCTAGTGGTCTGGAAGAGCAAGATCAGGCACTAAGTTGGGAATGTTGAATATGTGCTGTTTGAATGTGTCTTAGGTCCCTTCCTGAAACAGCCCCTAACAATAATTCCAAGTATTTTCTAATAATGTGTTTATTTTTTAAATATTTATATTGTATGTATATTAAGATTGTTTCTATTTGTATATTTGTAATGTTACAAAATACATTTACTTATTTCTTAAAATAAAAATAAAAATAAAAATTATAATTGTATCTGTTCTAATCTGAAACAACCCCATGTCAATATATGTATATTGTAATACAGTATAAGGGCAATAAGTACCTGCAATTTATTTACTGTATATTGTCTGTAGTAATATTTATATTAACTTTTAGCATATTCTATTAACATATTTACTTTTTACTATACTGAATTTAAGCCACTGGGGATGCTCTTCAAAAGGGGTCCCGCACATTTAGCTGTCATGTACACTGAAATAAAACTAAAACAAAAAACAAATGGACAGAAATATTATCCACAATAGTCCCATAGTATAAAAGTGAAAAGGTGGCCGGATATCAACTGCAACTACAGGGACATCTTGTTTTCTGGACCCTTTTTTGACCCTCCCCTACTCTCAGTGTCACTATAGCTCATGCTATACATATACATTGTCTTCCCTTGGTCTCCTGCTTGGAGGTTCTAGGGAATGATACAGAGAAGGTATACAGCAGCCATTAACACTGAATCAGTCTTTCAGAACACTGTTTGTTTACCTTATGCATGAGAGTGAATGCGTGGCAGATACATTGTAGTATCACCAGACCTGGGTCATACATACGAGTCAAATACTTTCAAATACTTGAGATGCACTTGACTGACTTTACATTTTAGTCTTTAGCAGACGCTCTTATCCAGAGCGACTTAGAGGAGCAATTAGGGTTAAGTGCCTTGCTTAAGGGCACATCGACAGATTTTTCACCTAGTCGGCTCGGGGATTAGAACCAGCGACCTTTCGGTTACTGGCACAACGCTCTTACCCACTAAGCTACCTGCCGCCCTATACAATTACAATGGAACCAATGGAATAGTCCCAAAAGAGCAAACCCCAAGCTTAATCAAATGAAAGTATTTGACCCAGGTCCGGTAATCAGGTCAGAGGTCAGTTTAAGCCAGGCCAATTTCCTACTGAACCACCCTGGTGACTGTCATATAGTCAGTGAATTAAATAACATACTGTGCTCAGCCAACCAAACCTGCTATTGGTCTGTTGGAGTGTTCATTGTGTGCTGCTAAATATCTCTGTTGGAGCACTGCCTGACACTCTGGGTATCAATGAAGTGCATCCAACTCAATCATGTCATACAGCCAGTTGTTGATACGCAAGATCTTTAGGCAGTAGACTAGTCCTGGTTCGGGTCTTCTAGTGCTGCGGTACCTGCATAAACTAGCCTTTTATTACACTATAATTTAGTGCAATAGCAAATGTACCTTTATTTTCAATACTAAGACTACTGTTGTATGATGTTTCCTGTGCTAGTGAAGAGGTGAGTATATAAAGTTAACTTAAGTTACAGAGAGGGGTAACTTATTATTTGAATAATCAAGAAGTTAGTTCTCACCGTTTTTCTGAATGAATACAGTGGCTCAACATGGGCCAATGCAGTTGCATTGTCGAGAGACAGAGAGATAGATTAAGTGGTTGTTTGAATAACGATGGTCTTGTTAACTTACACATAGTTATAAGTTCAGTGGGGAAATGCGGATTGCTTGGAATAGGGCAAATTATTTTGGGTGATTAAACCATAGAGAAAGAGCATTCTCTCTCTTATCTAAACTCACCGTTTCACCAACTGTTCTGGTTAGACATGCTGATGACAATCAGCCATTTGCCATTTCACAGTTGTTTCGGGAGGCTGTGTCGAGATGGCATAAGGCGCCACCTACTGTCTCAAAGCTGTAAAGACAACTCCAGTCAACCATACGCAGTTTGGTATACACATTCAGGTAACTGCCAAAATAAAGGAAACACCAACATAAAGTGTCTTGGGGCGTTGGGCCACCCACCACGAGCCAGAACATCTTCAATGCACCTTGGCATATGTTCTACAAGTGTCTGGAACTCTATTGGAGGGATGCGACACCCTTCTTCCACGCGAAATTCCATAATTTGGTGTTTTGTTGACTGTGGTGGAAAACGCTGTACCAGGCACCGCACCAGAATCTCCCATAAGTGTTCAATTGGGTTGAGATCTGGTGACTGAGACGGCCATGGCATATGGTTTACATCATTTTGATGCTCATCAAACCATTCAGTGTCCACTCGTGCCCTGTGGATGGGGGCGTTGTCATCCTATGTGGGCATAGCCATGGTAGCCAAAATAGCAAAAATAATGTCCTGCCCAGCATTTTTATAATTGACCGTAAGCATGATGGGATGTTAATTGCTTAATTAACGCAGGAACCACACCTGTGTGAAAGCACCTGCTGTCAATATACTTTGTATCCCTCATTTACTCAAGACTTTCCATTATTTTGGCAGTTACCTGTACATGTTTCATTCTACCAAGTTTCGAGCACAAATACAAATGGTTTGTCATTGTTGGAGTAGGTTTTGGGTCTATTAACATATATTGGTCTCCATTTTATTTTAATCTATTATTCTAATGATGAAAATGCAAGAAAAGGAACCATGTCAAATAAGATAAAAGTCTCTTTGAATGTAAATACCTTTGGTTATGCCCACCATGGATGAAATGTCCATATCTTACATAATTATAACTGACTTACCAAATATGTTATACACAAACTATGATAGCCTACATGTATAAGTGTAAATTAGGATGTCAGTGTAAACACAGTAAAAACACTCGCTCACAGAGAAAAATAACAGAGAAACCAAATAGGAGGCCATAAACAAGTCTCCCCGGCCTGTTTGAGGGAGAGGCATGGGGGGTAATAAACAGCATTATTAATGTCTGATACCTCCAAACTGGACCATTCACAGTAACATTAGTCTGAGGTACCTTTAACTATCTACAAAGACCTTCTCAGTGTTTCCCCTCCAGTTTGTGGATGTTTATTCTCAGATCCCTCTGTATTTATTGAATATTTCTCCATCTGTACTGAATATCTATCCCTTCAACTAAATACGAAGACAGACCCAAAGACACACCAACACGTGGTGGCAGTACAAGATAGGCCTACATGCTGAAGAATAGGCTACTGTTAACATGACTGCTCCTGATTCTTCTCCTGTATCTGAAAATAATATATATATATATATATATATATATATATATATATATATATATATATATATAATACATAGAATGCAGTGCTTACAACTGCTATAGGATATAGTGATTTTTACCCCCTCCCCCTACAATGATTTTTCTCTATATTAGCACAAACGAGAGCTGTTTGGTTAAGGCAAACAAAAATAGGATGCATATTGGACATTTTGTTAGCAAAGGTTAGGGCAGAAAATGTGATAGCATTAGAGGGGAATGGCATTCATGATGCATAACAGGAATACCACAATCCAGGGTAATTCAAAACCCACCACAGTTCTTCAGTGAGACATCACTAAGGTCAAATCTGTAGACCACAACCTTTGAAGCATCAGACACTTTCTGTCTGCAATGCTTGTCTGAGATGAAAATAAAACAAACAATTAAAACACAATAGGCCTTCAGTTTGGTGGTTTTGGCTATGAACAAAAATAGTATTTTTTCAAAGATGATTGTTGTCTCAGATGTATATACAGTGCCTTGGGAAAGTATTCAGACCCTTTGACTTTTTCCACATTTTGTTACGTTACAGCTTTATTCTAAAATTTATCCAATTGTTTTTTCCCCTCATCAATCTACACATATTACCCCATAATGACAAAGCAAAAACACGTTTTTAGAACTGAAATATTACATTTACATAAGTATTCAGACCCTTTACTCAGTACTTTGTTGAAGCCCCTTTGGCAGCAACTACAGCCTTGAGTCTTCTTGGGTATGACGCTGCAAGCTTGGCACACCTGTATTTGGGGAGTTTCTCCCATTCTTCTCTGCAGATCCTCTCAAACTCTGTCAGGTTGGATGGGGAGCGTTGCTGCACAGCTATATTCAGGTCTCTGCAGAGATGTTCGATCGGGTTCAAGTCCGGGCTCTGGCTGGGCCACTCAAGGACATTCAGAGACTTGTCCTGAAGCCACTCCAGCGTTGTCTTGGCTGTAGGCTTAGGGTTGTTGTCCTGTTGGAAGGTAAACCTTTGTCCCAGTCTGAGGTCCTGAGCGCTCTGAAGCATATTTTCATCAAGGATCTCTCTGTACTTTGCTCCGTTCATCTTTGCCTCGATCCTGACTAGTCTCCCAGTCCCTGCCGCTGAAAAACATCCCCACAGCATGATGCTGCCACCACCATGCTTCACCGTAGGGATGGTACCAGGTTTCCTCCAGACATGATGCTTGGCATTCAGGCCAAAGAGTTTAATCAGATCAGAGAATGTTGTTTCTCATGGTCTGAGAGTCTTTAGGTGCCTTTTGTCAAACACTGTACCATAAAGGCCTGATTGGTGGAGTGCTGCAGAGATGGTTGCCCTTCTGGAAGGCTCTCCCATCTGCACAGAGGAACTCTAGAGCTCTGTCAGTCACCAACGGGTCACCTCCCTGACCAAGGCCCTTCTTCCCCCAATTGCTCAGTTTGGCAGACCGGCCAGCTCTAGGAAGACTCTTGGTGGTTCCAAACTTCTTCCCTTTAAGAATGATGGAGGCCACAGTGTTCTTGGGGACCTTCAATGCTGCAGACATTTTTTGGTACCCTTCCCCAGATCTGTGCTCTACGGACAATCCCATCGACCTCATGGCTTTGTTTTTGCTGTGACATGCATTGTTAACTGTGGGACCTTTTATAGACAGTTGTTTGCCTTTCCAAATCATGTCCAATCAATTGAATTTACCACAGTCAATCAAGTTGTAGAAACATCTCAAGGATGATCAAGAAACAGGATGCACCTGAGCTCAATTTCGAGTCTCATAGCAAAGGGTCTGAATACCTATGTCAATATGGTATTTCTGTTTATTATTTTTAATAAATTAGCAAAAATGTATAAAAACCTGTTTTCACTTTGTCATTATGGGGTATTGTGTGTAGATTGCTGAATATTTTTATTTATTTAATCAATTTTAGAATA